AAACATAAGTAGTGATGGTAAAAAAAAATATTAAAAAATAAAAAAAAATATATATATATATATAAAATAAATAAATATAAAAAAAAAGGAAATTGTTAGAATAATGACTAAGAACTAAGAGATAAATAATAATAACCATTACAGAATGTGGAATGATGAAGTAGGCATAATCAAAAAGGGTAACATAAGTGTTACAATGGGAATCTTAGAATAAAATGTAAAACATAAAAAAAAAGAAATATGAAGTTATATAAGAAATGAAAATAAATAGTTAAATTAAAATAGGAACTTTCTCCTCCTTCCTGTCATTCCTTTTCTCTGTTTTTAACTCTTTATTATATTATACATTGTCTGTACATCTTGATAGACTTTACAATATCTCAATTTTCTATCTAACTACTCCATTCTCAATGTTTTAATTTTACTATTTATTTTCATTTCTTATATAACTTCATATTTCTTTTTATGTTTTACATTTTATTCTAAGATTCCCATTGTAACACTTATGTTACCCTTTTTGATTATGCCTACTTCATCATTCCACACTTATATTGTTTTTTTTATATTTGTTATTTTATATTTTTTTTTATTTATTTATTTTTTTAATATTCTTTTTTTACCATCACTACTTATGTTTCTCATACCTTGTTATCTGGTTATTTTCTTAGCCCTGATGAAGGCCTGAACTTCAGGTCGAAACGTCGGCATATGTAAAAAATAAATATTATCATTTATTTTTTGCCTTCCTTATTGACTGACCACCCCAACTATTCTTCTCTTCATTATCCACGACAGTCAACCAATTACCAATTATGGATCATTTATTTTCTTCGGACCGTATATGGTTTTATAAATTGTTACTTAGGCATTTCATGCCAGTTCCTTAGATTTTAGTATTTTCATCAGGGCTTAAAACCCGGGATTTAAATTCTGTTCCTATTGGAAAAAGTTGCTGATTAATTTTTACTTGTTCAGCCATCACTATATTACTTCTTGAGGTCTTCATGTACAGAATTTCCCCTTCACTCAGGCCAAATTGCATTGCTGTCCCTTCGAGTTCTTCAATCGTTCCTAAAAGGGTCGACAATGTGCAAGCGCTAATGTGAATATCATCTGCATACACAAGGCCAATGCCTCAATATAAGTCGATCGAAGGACCAATCCTGAAGGGACGACATTCAAGTTTTTAATTATTGAATTTTATTTCAAAATATTAACTGTATAAAAAAATATATTATTATTTATATAAGTTATTATTGTAATATTCAATAACATTTAAAAAGAAGAAGAAAATTGACTGTTGTTTTGTTTATTTGGGCTTAATGCCCTTATATATCCCAACTAGTTTCAGACAGATAAATTATCCTTCAGTTTACTGACCTATTCTAACCACACTTCGTGATTTCTGCTCTTACATAAGATAAGTTTTACATTTCTGTGTTTTTTCCTCTCTTGATCGTACCACCAGTTGACTTCTTGATTACATCTTACCTTAACCATCTACGATATCTCTACCGTTACATAATCCAGAGGTAGTTTACTCTGTAGCTAGATTGTTCTGAAGGGATATCCTCCTATTAATATAGTATACATATTTATGTTTCATTTAAGATAATATGAACTCCTAAATTAGCCTGTAGCATTAAATTTCAGTTGAGTTCTTCTTAAATTAAACATATGGTTCTTACAATGACATTTAGAAGAATGTTCAGTTAATGGTTGTTAAGCACTGATGTATCAGCACACTCTTAGCACTATTTCCACAAGTACTTTTATTTAGTTCTTTTATAATATTGAAAGTAGGATCACATCTTTTGTGACAGATATGTTCCGCATATTATAAAATAGGTCACCAACTGTGTACAGTTAATTTATTTCTTGTATTATAGGTTAACTAGGTTCTACTTTATTTTATCTTCTAGAATTATATCCTTCATGACAGTCTCTTGTTTTATTTATTTGTTCTATATGATTTTGGTGCTTAGCGCCATATTAATTTTTAGTATTATTATTTTACTGTCCTATTTTATTTATTGTATATATAGTGTAAATGAACTTGTGTATCACTATTACTAATGTCCTTAATTGTTACAAAAAGTAAAATTATTCAATAAAGAAATGTTTTAAGTCAGGGTGGCAACTGACTTGGAAAAATTAGAAAAAATTTTTTAGTACATAAATATTTGTTTCAAATTGAAAATAAATATACAGTGGATATCATTTATCTTTTAACTTAAAGGGGTTAACTTTGTCATTATAAATGACCACGGTCGCTATATTCAGCCACTTTTTATTGATAATAACGGCACTGGTAGTTATATTGAAATCAAATGAAAGTAATGAATACAAATTAGCAAATAGGACTTTAAAAAAGTGTTTTTTTTTTAAAGAAAAACATACCGATTACTGGGTGATAAATATTCAGGACTCAGTCATTATAAAACTTTTTTATTTGTGCCAACGTTTCAACTCAAGCATGTGGGTCATCATCAGTGCTGAAAATTTTTAAAATACAATGAGAGATATAATATTATATGACCGATAATGGTAACTAATAAACTATAGTATTGATGGTACACGAATCTTTACTATTATTACAGTACACAATTCTGTAACCATTATTTTTATTTTATTTTATTTTCCTCCCTACCCTGCCTTTAAGACAATACGGGAGTTTGCAGAAGTGACTTGATACACATTGTATAACAAATCACTGTTGCAAGTTTATCTTTTTACATTTTTAAATTGCTGTGCACACAGCCTGCTTGATAATTTTGTCACTTAGTTTATCGTCCTCCATCTTCTTCTCCTGTCCTAATCAGCTGCCTTCCAGGTACTGCTTCTTCACGCCTTCCCAGGGAGAAGTGGGTTGGGCCCACAGTTTTTTTCCAGCGGCATACAAAACTTTTAAAGTGCGGGTAGTTTTGTTCAGATATTAGTTGGGGTAATTGTCTTTCTGTTAGAATGAAAAGCCCTGTATCCCTCATTAATTTGGCCCTTAGTGCCTCATAGCTGGTGCAGGCTACAAGGATGTGCTCAGTGGTTTCAGGTACTCCACAAGTGGGGCATAAGGGATCTATATTTTTACCGTGTTTAAAAAGTTTCGCTCTGAAACCCCCATGCCCTGTAATTCTGTAACCATAAGAAACAACGCAAATCTTGTACACATCTTGAATATTTAGTCATCAAATTATTTACATTCTACAAACAGAAATGGTACCTCCCTCTCCCCCTCCCTCTGACTGTGTTTACCTACTTTTTGCTATCTGAAAAAGGACAACTGGGAAATCCTCCCCCTACCCTTTCATTTACCTACCAAATGTGTCAGTATTTGAAAGCCTTCAGTGTTCAAACCACGGTTAGTAAGAGAAATTATTACAAAATTTTTATAATGACTGCGTCCTGAATATTTATCACCCATGATGTGTAGAACAGTCGACTAACTTCCTTCAATAATTCAAAGCAATTACTATTTACTATTTGTAATATATTCATCTGGATCAAGATCCAGCTGGCAAGCACACATTCGTTTGACCTGCAGTGCTTCTTAAAAGAGCATTTATTAACCAGTAATATCACAATTGTTTCCAAGGATATGGATAATTATTTTACTGTTTATAGTAATACTAAAACTAATTATTTATGAGAAACTACATTATTAGAATCCCCCATAGATCACTATTTTATAATAGAGAAAATCAGAGCTTTATATGTGAACCGTCAACTTTTACCTCCTCTCAGTTTATGAAAATAAAACAAATACTAATAAATAAATTACTAAAAGTTTACTTTTCTAAAATAAAAAATCTTAATCAAGCTTTAAAAATGCTTCCTCTAAAACATTATATTTGTTATTTAAAAGACAGATTTTTTTTTTTTTTTTTTTTTTTGCTTAAATCATTTTCTTGTCAATATTCTTTCATGTATAATAAATAAATTCAGAAATAAATTATACATTTTTAATTATCATTTGAAATAATTAATGGGAAAACTATCATTAAATAGGATAAAATCTTTTACTTTAACTGTCTGATAGCCACCCTGTAAATAAAATTTAAAAAATAGCTGATAATCATTTTCATGTAAGTTTCTTTCTTTTCTTTTTTTTTTTTACAATTTAATCTTTAGATTTTAAAATTAACAATAATCTTTGATTGATAAAATTTTGATAGACAATATAGAAAACATCCAAGTGAAGGATTTGTATACAGGCTCCCAACTCTCTGTTATAATTACTATGAATAGTTTAATGTATTAAAGTTTATATTGATATTGATTTAAAAATATTTTATATTTAGATTAGTTACCTAGAACTCCATCTGGACAAACGTCTAACTTGGATTCTTCATACCAGACTGAAATGACAAGAAACAGCTCGACGTTTCCGACTACTTCAACACTTACTAGACAAACGCTCTAATCTTCCACTTAATTATAAAAGACTCATTTACATGACTACAGAGTTGAGCTTTAGGGCTCCACTAAACCATTGAATTCCTCTCGTATCCAATCCTTACAATCCAAAATCCTTCGTAAAATCCTCAATGCTCCTTACTTTGTTACAAATAAAATCATCCATAATGAACTTTGGCCCAATCCAGATATCTGTCCTTCCATAATAAACTTCATAACCATCCCAATCCTCTTGTTTCTAACCTTGCTTCCTATTCCTGATAACCCTCGGAGGCGTCTGAAATGATGATGGATGGCCACATGATCTCCTAATATAGACATATTATTAGAGTGCTACCAATGGGTAGTTTCTCAACATGTGTTTCATGTCATTATATCCATGTGCGAATTTACTAGATGTATTTTTTGTATACAGTTGTAAATATCATATAAATAAATAAAAAATAAAAAAAATATTTAGAGTATGGTGCTAGACACCAAAATGTATAGAACTACTAAATAAAATAAGGGACTGTTGAAGACTATCATTGTATGTTAATTTATTTATTTTATATTATTTTTTTTTGTATCACCTCATTATGTATCTGATGGATAGATCCAGTGAGGAGCGACCAGAAGGGGAAGGCCTGGAGCTGAGAAGATCCGCGACCGCTCCGCACGTCCCCGACTCGCTAACCCCCGGCCTGCGACGGAGGAGGCAGGCTGCCGACAAGTACGTCACGGACAGCTCTCAGCTGCCTCTGAGGTTCCAGAGGCCCCGCAGGCTGCTGGCCCAAGACGACACCCCCCCTCGGCCTCCGCCTCTTGACAACTCGACTCTCCCTCACGAGAACAACGCCAGGTCGGTATCACGCCGCCTCCGGCCGGTCTCCGTCCCTCTTCGCTATAATTTATAATAGTATGTTCATTTTATCACATATTTTATTTAAAAAATCGTTTAACTACTGTTTTCAGTGAGTGAGATAATAACATTCTGTTTGCTTCAAATTCTCTTGGCGATTTCCTCTATCTTATAATTTTTATTTAATTTAATGTAATATACTTTCAGGGAAAAGTTCATTTTTTTAATGGAAAGGGGTAAAGTACTGTCTGCTAAGAAGTTTTTATATTTATTAATTTTTTTCACACCTTGAATTTCTCGTTTATGTATTATGTATGATGTGTAAAATTCCAAAACCAGTCACATCTATTTTTGAATTTTCTAGTCACATCCTTCAGGTTTGGTGCCATTTTCTCATAAGTTTTTTATATATATTTTAGGCCAAAGGTCATCAAAAGTACACAGTTTTACATCCTGTATTCTTTATTCGACGTTTCGGCTTCAGGGGCCATTTTCAAGATCCATGCACCGCTTCATAAAATTTCTAAAATCTATCATTACAATACGATTCGTCCTATAGTCATTCTTCTATTTCATAGAATGTCGTTTTTTCACTTCTCTTTCGCAGACGATATCAAGAAAATTGTTGCCAACCTGTACCTTAGTGAGGAGCAACAATTTTCTTGATATCATCTGCGAAAGAGAAGTGAAAAAACGACATTCTATGAAATAAAAGAATGACTAAAGGACGAATCATATTGCAATGATAGATTTTAAAAATTTTATGAAGCGGTGCATGGATCTTGAAAATGGCTCCAGATGCCGAAACGTTGAATAAAGAATAAAGTATGTAAAACTGTGTACATTTGGTGACCTTTGGCCTAAAATATATATAAAAAATCTATTTTTGATTTTTTTAAATACTAGAGGTATACCCCCTGTCCACATGACGGCAGACCAACTCCCATTTTACAAATTATACAATTGTTCATTTAATTGTAATACTCGTTGCTCAAATTGTGTAACTGAAATTTACATGTATTGCTTTTCACACGAATCCTAAAATATTTGGTCACGAATTCGGGAAAAAAGGTGAAAAATAAATATTAGTGACCTCCACTCCTAATAGGTCAAAATAACAAGGTTACATAAGCCAATATTTTTGTAGTCCACCTTTATTTCTAATTTGTAATCCAATTATCTTACGATTTAATTGGAAACCATATGGATTTTCATGAGTTTTTAGTACCTTATTAAAGTATCAAAGTTTACCTCTAGACTAAAAACTGCCCGTTTCTGAGAATTGTCTTAATCCCTACATATTATTATTACAATAAGGCTCGAAATCGGTTTTGTACCAAATATAAGCTCCTGTCATGCTCAAATACTATGAATGGGGTACCATTGGATTCAGAATTTCACGGGGGGTTAGCGAATCATATTCTTCACTCTTTTGTTTCTCTTTCAAAAATAAATAAAGTCGATACAAACATTTTTCTGGACTTCAATACTGGAACGGTGGTAGGTCTGTAGATCGATAAGGGACAAATTGCATCTTGAAGATTTTGATGCATACCCGATGCAAGACCCGGATAGTTCCTCCTAAGAGAGAGGAGGAGTTTATATTATTTATCGATGGTGTTTTTGATCGGCAAGCCATATCATCGTTAATTTTTCACCGAATCTCAAGATTGAGCCACTAATTTCGAAGGCTTCCTTCTCCTTCAGGCGGGCAAAATAGTCCAATCACCCCAAAAATTGAGGCAAACAATTTATGAAAGAAAGTAAACTTTATTTGCGAATAACTGAAAAATTACACACTTTTCCCTGGGTTATGCTCATGATTATATAAAAGATTACTAAATTCCTTGCTAAAGGGAAAAAAAATCATTGAAATCGGATAATTTTTAGCAAAGATACAGCTCACTGAAATTTGTAAACATGTTGGTTCCATACAAAGATGAAGATTTAAATAAATTTTTGTTTGTTTTGTGAATTATATTTATCGTGATGTCTTAATCTTTTGAAACATTGCATTTTTTTATTTTCTTATTAATTTGGCATATAATAACTAGATGCTGTGCGAATTTTTCGCACGGGCCTACTAGTTACAAAATATTGTAGGTTATGATAAAATTAGGCCATTCATGAAGTTTTTGATGGATGTTAATGATTTGATAAAAAGGGGTCTGCACCTCGGACTATTTTATAGGCAGATGTGGATAAAAATATAAAATGTATTTGGCTGGTTTTGGAATTAAACATCCTCAATTTTTATATATTTTATTTAATGAAATTTATTTGTTTATTGTTGTCATCTTTAGGTGTAGAAGATTCCACCCGGTGCCAAACACAGACGCCGCCTCTCGAGAAGCCTGATCCTCGCCTCCTGCTTGCCTCCTTGCCTCCTCCCCGTCAAATAGGATTCACTCTTTACTTCAATTCTTATCAACGATGCGTCAAGAGTATCTAGCTAGCGATAACTTAAGACCGGCTATGTTAACATTTTAAGCATCTTTCTTTTGTATATATTTGTTAAAATAATCTTATATAATAGATATTCTTCTTTTTAAATGGTATATACATATTATATGATATAACTGATAGTTATTTCATCTGTAAATATTTATGTGTGTATTGCTTTTCTTTTTCTTTTTTTTTTTTTAGTATAATAATTTGTGTCAATTGTTATACTTAATTAATTAAGGTGGCTTACAGTAAAAGCATATTTGAAATCAATTTTTTTTTCACTTTATTAAAATTAATTAGATAAGCATTATATTGACATACTTATCTAGTTTTGCTATATTTGTTTTAATTTAATTTTTTTTTTTAGAACTTAAACAAAAAAATTACATAACAAATAAAAAAAGAAAATAAAAAACAACTTAATTTCTACATCATGTCATATAAATGAAATATGTGCCATTTGAATATCAGTTTTATTTGGAAAATATGGAATTATCAGCTTTTACTGTTTTCCATATTTGATTATATTTTTTTCTCTCTCCATTTATAATTTTAGAATTGTGAAATCAAATATTGTAATGTAAATTGTTTTTTGCGTTTAGTGGGCTGTGCCGTGTCTTGATACCGAAGCCCATATTTTTATTTTATCAGGTTATTTCGGTAACTTGGGCTTGACTGATCATTTGTGTTACCTGCCTTTATTTATGGACACTTTTCCTTCGTTATTCGATGGTATAATAAATGTGATTTTTTCATGTTTTCTTTTTCTTATAACAAGTAAATCTATGGAAGTTTCACTCATTGATTTTATTTAAATCTTTTATGTTTGTGTTGAACTATGTTAAATATTTGGCTCGTAATTTAAAAAAAAAAAAAAAAGTATACATGTGAAGTAACTTAAATTGCGAAATAAGTTTTAATAAGTTAAATGGTTTATTTAAGGGATATAGTTGAAACTAAGTCTAACTAAGAATCACACTCATATACGAGTATTTCCCTGCTGTGTTGTATCGAGACAATGGACTCTTGTTTCATTGATCTGAAACAAATTTTTGCCAATGAAAAGAAAATGTGTCAAATATTTTTGTAGTTCTGCTAATATAAATTTTTAAAATTAAAATCAGTGACTGACATTAAAGTTGGTTCACTTGTCAGTTTAAATATTAGGGCTGTAATATCCGCTTGCCCAGCGTTTTGGCTCAATCGTTTGTGTGATTGTTCACCATTCAATGTGTATATCTAAAATGTCATTAATATTTTTAATTAATGATGGTACTAACTACCAAGCGTGCTGTGATGAGATTTCGGAAATGATTATTTGCCTGTTATTATTTTTTTATTATTATTATTTTTTTTTAATGTTCCACTACATACGGGATACTTGCTAATTTATTGTACTTTAAGTATAATATTTTTTAGATACGCAATTTATGTGCTTTAAATAAAAAAAAATCGACATTATTAGGAGACCTCCTAGGGAATACCTTGCACACATTTTTATTGGGATGAACTCTAAAAGAAACATATATATATATATTTATATATATATATATATATATATATATATATATATATGTATATATATATATAAATAATGACTTGATAGTTAAGTCTAGCGTTTAAGGGTAAATATACTTGTACTAGTCATAAAAAATAGTGAACGGGACATTAATCGTGCTAATTTAGGATATTCTATTTAAATAACTTATTTTTTATGTGTGTGTGAGATTTATAATTTTAAGCTAAATTTATTTTGCCAAAGAATTTATGAAATTTATTTATGTTTTTCAAAAATGATTTGTTATATTTTGTTGAAATGTGAAAATATAAGTGAATTTATTACAAATGTGTATATGTTTGTTCCATAGATTTATATATATACATATATACACATTTTTATGCATTATTCATTTTAACACTATTTGTAAATAGCCGGAAAACTGCTTACTATAATTAAATATCGTTTTATTTTATAAATATTTAATATAGCTGATTCTGTCCTTTCAGAATATATTGTTTTAAAGACAAATATGTTTTATTATAAAGTGATATTATAATTTGAAAAGTTGTAAAATTCAGTCTTTTATTTATTTATTTTTTTTTTAAACATGCCATATTTAATATAGAATAGTTTGAAATTCCTTAAAGAAATATTACTTCATATTTTCGCACTAGATGATACTCGAAGCATTGTGGCATCAGTTATCAGAAAGACTTAAAGGTTCGATTGTTTTCAATTTTAAAATTAGGGTATCTTTGTCAGGGATCATCAAAATTTCATTAAGGCTAAAAACAGAATTATGAATTCATGTAAGCATATAACCAGAGATTTAATTTAATTCCATCTAAAAGAATTATGTGTAACAATATTTTTAAGCATATATTTTATTCAAGTTGTTACTGCCCTGACAAATACATCCTGAATTTATGATAAAAAGTTAACTATCTTTCGCACACTATTTTTTTCTATTCTAATTGCAAAATCATATGTTTTCACTTAGATATTAATAAACTTTTCAAACCTACAATTACTGTGAAAAACTGGAAACTGAACAGTCAATTTTGTAAAACATGTTAACTGATGTAATATAATTTTATAATCATCCA